AGGAAGAGGTGGAGAAACTCCTACAGGCTGGTTTTGTCAGAAGAGTTGATTACTGTGAATGGGTAGTCAATCTAGTGTTGGTCAAGAAAGCAAATGGTAAATGACGAATATGCATCGATTATACAAATATCAACCAAGCTTGTCCCAAAGATTGTTATCCGATGCCGAACATTGATAAACTAGTTGAGGCAGTTTCTAGAAATGAGAGATTGAGTCTCTTAGATGCATATTTTGGTTATCACCAAGTCCCGATGGCTCATGAGGATGAAGAGAAGACCTCATTCTATGTAGGTGATGAAATCTATTGTTATGTCATGATGCTTTTTGGCTTAAAGAATGCAGGTGCCATTTACCAGAAGATGGTGACCATCGTATTTCGAGCTCAAATAGGCAGGAATCTAGAAGTTTATGTTGTTGACATCGTGGTGAAGAGCTGAAAAGTCGAAGATCATTTAGCTAATCTTGCTGAGACATTCAACAACCTTAGAAAAAACAAAATGCGGTCGAACCCAATGAAGTGTATCTTTGGTGTGGAGTTTGGAAAATTTCTAGGCTTCATGGTATCTAAGAGGGGGATTGAGGTTAACTTAGAAAAGATCAAAGCAATAGCCGAGATGGAACCGCTGAAGTCAGTGAAAGATGTGTAGAGACTAATTGGGAGAGTGGCAGTTTTTCATAATTTTATATCGAAGTCAGTAGATAAATGTTTGCCGTTTTTTAAGATCATGAGATCAACAGCTAAGAAGGATGAATTTGGCAAGCAGAAGAAGTTTGAATGGAACATCGAATGCTAAGCTGTATTCAATGAGCTGAAGTCTTATCTTAACTCACCCCCTTTGTTGATAAAAGCTATAAATGGAGAGATCCTTTATTTGTACCTTGGCATCTCAGATGAAGCAATCAGTTCTGTGCTAGTGAGAGAAGAAGGGAAACAGAAAAAACCAGTTTATTATACCAACCAACAACGTACTACACGGAGCAGAGCTAAGATACTCTATTGCTAAGAAAGTAATGTTAGCAGTTGTCACTTCAGCCAGAAAGCTGAGGCCATATTTCCAGTTACACCCAATCATAGTCCTCAAAGACCAACCTTTTCAATAGATTCTACAGAAACCAGAGTGCTCAGAAAGATTGATCAAATGGGTAGTTGAATTGAGGGAGTTTGAAATAACGTTTCAACAGAGGTTTACAATCCAAGCTCAAGCATTAGCAGATTTTATTGTGGAATGCACCTCAGATCACTCAAATTCTAGGCTCGAGCTGGATAGTTGGGTTCTATATGTTGATGGAGCATCATGTAACAAAGGCTCTGGAGCTGGCGCAATCCTAGTTGGCCTAGATGGATACTGAAGTGAGCATGCTTTGAAATTTAATTTTGATGCAACTAACAACATGGCCGAATATGTAGCTCTGCTACTTGGCTTGCAATTGGTGTTAGAATTGAAAGTTGTGGCAATGCAGATATATAGTGACTCACAACTCATGGTTAATCAAGTTAACTCAGTTTTTGAGGTGGTTGATTCTGTCATGATGAAGTATGTAGCCCTGGTGGCCAAGCTAAGTTGCAAGTTCCAGAAATTTTGTTTGAGCAAAATGCCTCAAGTTGAAAATCAACAGGCAGATTCACTTTCTAAGTTCACCTCCGATAACTCCTAAAGCTTCAGATTAGTTTTCGTTGAAGTTTTAGATGAGCTGAGCTTCCTGAAGCAAAAAAGGATGAAGATTAGCATAGATCTGGATACACCGAGCTAGATAGATCCAATTGTCTCTTTCTTACGAGATGGGTCAATGCCTAAAGATAAGAAAGAAGAGATGAGGTTGAGAAAGAAAGCATCTTGGTACACACTTGTTGATGGAGTCCTCTATAAAAGATCTTTCTCACTCCCTCTCCTTCGATGCTTGAACCTTTATGAAGCTGAATACGCACTTTGGGAGGTATATGAAGGCGTATGTGGAAGTCATATTGGCGCTAGATCCCTAGCTCCTAAAGTCTTCAGATAAGGATATTACTGGCTAAATATGTATAAAGATGCCACTCAGTTTGCACAAAGGTGCCCAAAGTGCCAATTCTTTGCACACGTAACTCACCAACCAGTAAAAAAGCTCACCAACTTGGTGGCATTGTGGCCATTTGCTCAGTGGGGACTTGATCTTTTAGGCCCATTCACGAAAAGGGTTGAAGGTGTAACCCATCTGGTTGTTGGTGTTGATTATTTTACAAAATGAGTTGAAGCTCAGCCATTATCCAGCCTTACCTCCAAAAAGGTCGGAGACTTTTTTTTCGACTCAATCATCTGCAGGTACGAGATCTCGAATCAAATTGTGGATGACAATGGCACTCAATTTAACTATTATTCATTTAGAGATTTCTGCTTCAGTTACGGAATCAAATTACAGTTTACCTCGGTATACCATTCAAAGTCCAAAGATATTGTAGAATCTGTCAACAAAGCTATCCTGGAGGGAATCAAACAAAGGTTGGAGCAGCATAAGGCCAGGTGAGCAGACGAGCTCAACAATGTCCTCTAAGCATATAGAACTACGAGCCGAACTGCCACAGGTAACTAACTCAAACTTAAGTTATTTTCAACTACTTTATTTTTTCTTCTATGGCTTTACCCTAGATCAAATATGCATAACATGTAAAGAATATTCTAAAAACTATAATTCAATGAAATAGATGAAACACCCTACCACCTGGCCTTTGGTACTAAAGCAGTCATTCCTATTGAAATAGGAGTCCCAAGCTTCAAGGTCCCCCATTTCGATGAAAGGCAAAATGGACAATTGCTTCAGGAGAACCTTGACTTGCTTGACGAAGTCAGAGAGAAAGCACAACTTCGAACTTTGGTGTACAAGCAGAAATTAGCCAACTTCTACAACAAACGAGTTCGTCCTCGAACATTCAAAGTTGGTGACCCAGTTTTGAGAAAAGCTAGCTTAACTGGATTTGAAACTTGTTTTGGTAAACTAGCACTGAACTGGGAAGGCCTTTACACAGTGGCTGAAGTGCCACATCCTGGTGCCTATATCCTTCAAGACGCTGAAGGGAAAAGAGTTCATAGAATCTTGAATGTCAACAACTTGAAGAAATTTTACCCTTAATCAACTTCTTTCAACGAACTTGTCTTATTTCCCTTTATGATTATTACTTTCTCTTTCTGAGATTAATTTCATTCATTTAAACAATTCTTCCGAGATCAATTTGTAATTCACTTCACGTCTAAAGTGATTTCCTTCATCTCAGTTCTTATGTTAATAAAATCCAAAGCAAATGTTCCAACAAACTTCAAATAAATCCATGAATTGATTACAAATATTACAAAACTGTTCATAATAAAATCAATAAATTGTTCCAACTCTAACACAAAACATAAATCAAAAGATAACACCCTAGCTACTCTGTTGGGGGAGGTGGCTGCTTTTCTTCGGAAGGAACTGGATGGACCTCTACTAGAAGAAGTGGCTAGCTCTCCTTAACTTTAGTACCTTCTACCTCTCCTTCCCCTTCCTCAACTACGACGAACTCGAAGTCAAAATTGGGAGGAAAAACGGTGCAACCTTCTTTGTCATGATCCCACCTCAGCTTAATCTGAGGTCAGAAATCGACTAACATACTCTCACTGTCTTCCTTCACTCCCTCTTCTTATTCGCCAAAGGTGATCTTTGTTACATCCACTTCAGGATATTAAGATTTCACCTTTTTTCTGCAATCAGTGAAGGCAAGGATCGCGGTGGGCAGCCGATAAAGATTGACAATGTTCTCAAAAGTGCTGGAGTTGATGAACTCAACAATATGCTCCTCCATCCCGTTGTGTACCAGCAACTTCACATTCTTTTTGAGCTTAGCCTCAAACTTTTTCATTTCCTTTATTTCTTGATCTTGTGCTTCAATTTGTTCTCCGCACATTTTCCTCTTCCTTTCTTTAAATGAAAGAATTATCTTCAGTGAATTCCTCTCATCTTGAAGACTCGTCATTGTTGGTACCACCTCATCTAGCTCCTTATACATCTCATCCTTCTCCTTTTACAGCTTCTCATTCTGCTTCTGCAAGTTGTTGCACTCTCTAACAATCTTCATGAACTCTTGTGCCAGCACGTTAACTTAGCTTGTAGTCTGTAATATAAACACCAATTAAAAAAAAAAAAAAACTAAGTATCATCATTCAATTTACCTCGGCATGCTTCGTCACTGAATTCCCTCAGTGACTTAGCACCTTCTCCTTTGCTCGGCGGCAATCCACTTCAGGAAGGTATGCGTTTAAAAAGTTTTTCATCACTATGGTGTTCTTTGTGTCAAAAAGACTATTCTGAAGCAAAGGAGGAAGAACAAGAGCTTTGCCTTTACCATGGGTTGTAACCCCTATCTCTCTGACCTCAAGATCAAGCTTAACAAGAGAAGGCCGAGGTACAAACTCAGCCACCTCATCTCCCCTAACCTCCTGTTCTCCCGTCTTCTTTTTCTTTTTTTGAGGTGGCTCCAAGTCCTCACTTCTTTTCCTTTTGAGCTCAGGCCTTGGTTGAACACCTGGAGCTCGGGCTGACGAACTGGAAGGTTGCTCCCTCTTTTTGTCCCCAGCTCTTCCTTCATTAGCCACATTTTTTGAAGTCTTTGACTTCTTCCTTGGCTTTTTGGGAATGGCCATTCCATTAGCAATACCCAAAAATTTGTCCATCTTAGCTGCAAAATAACAAAAATGTTAAAAGCAAAAGTCAGAATTTAACTTCTACACATATAACACAAGGTACAAACACACCTTCACTCATTAAGCTCGGTCCATAGAGCTTGGTTGCTTCTATAACATCTGAGTTGGTGAGAAACATAATATCCACCATATCACCCTCCTTTCTCACTAGCTTCTCCACTTTTTCCTCTTCATCGCTATTTAAACTATACTTATTCCAGTTGGCCCTTTTAGCCTTCTAGGTAGACAAAAACTCTACTTCACCATCCCTCCTCTTCTACTCGGTGTCATCAACAAAGAAAAATTTTTCCTTCCATCCCTTAATGGATGAAGGCCTTGCACTAAACAAGTTCCTCTTTTCTTTGTTGGACGACTGACGTGTAAAATAATACCACCCCTTCTCCTTCCTACTCTCAGCTTTAAGTACAAAAAAGTATTTAAACATATTCACCATAAGCACCCTAACCCCTCTAGCTCGACAATATGTTATAAATCCAATTATTACTCTTATTGTGCTGGGAGTTTATTGGGTCAAACCTATTCTATACTCCAGCAATAACCACACCAACAACTCTAGCATTGGAAACCTAAGCCCTGCTGCCAAATAATGAGCATACATAGGCATCCAATGATCCTGTGGTGCCGAGCATGCCCTTTCCTCCACCCCAGCAGGCCTAATCAACACTTGGGGAGGAAGGTCATAGGTTTCAACTAAATAAACAAGGCTATCCCTTGTCCCCAATTCACTCTTATACCCCTTCACTTGAGAGACAATATCCGCCTCTATATCATAACACCTGTCAACTCCATTATCAATTTTTAAAATATTTGGGGGAATACCCTCCCCCTCCCCTTCACCCTTAACTATTTCATATCCACCCATCCTCCCCTTGTTCTCTTTGACCCAAACGACCCACTCTCCATAGCCACATCATTGTACTCCAACATCCTTACTTCCTTGCTCCCCCCAACACTCAATGTTTCCTCGGAAGACATCTCTTTCGTCTCATAACTTTCACTGCACGGAGTAGGAGAGGGGATGTAGTTAGGATCTTTAAAAAATTTCAACTCACACTCAATGTCACTCTCACTTCTAAATCTAACCTCCTTAAGAGGACTTAGATCTAAGTTAGAAAGGCTGAGAGGAGAATAGAACTCTTCACTAGAATTAGAATCACTAAAATTCATAAGTTACCTGATTTCGGCCTTGTGAAATTGGTGTAGAAGTCAAAAAACAAAGTGCAAAAACTAGAATGTACAGGCTTAGATGAAGCTGTAGTAGCACTTTGGTAGTAAATACGACAAAGTTAAAATATTTTTTTATAGAAGTATAGCTATATATACCAAAGCGAATATGCACTCCAACGATTGTGATTAATTTGATCAAACGATCACAATTACACCGCTTTGAATTTGACAGTTCAATCCTAATGGAACCCTTCCGAATTTGATGGTTCCATTTCGGTTGCGTCTCTTGAATTGTTGCAGTTACTTTTTACAACCCGTATTTATTGTACACATCTTCCTAAAGACAGTTGTCATATCACATACTAATTGTGTCAGGCTTTTCAAATGGGTCCAATAAAACCCAACCCAAATCCTTTTATTTCTGCAAATATCTCTCACCATGTGGAAGTGTTTTACCTCGGCTCCGACCACAATGACTCCGTGTTACACATTTTACTTCGGCTCTAGCCATAGTGACCTCGAGTCACATATTTTACCTCGGCTCCGGCCACAGTGACCCCGTGTCACATATTTTTCTTCGGCTCCAGCCATAGTGACCTCGAGTCACACATTTTACTTCGACTTCGACCATAGTGACCCCAAGTCACGTATTTTATTTTGGCTTTGGCCAGTGACCCTGTGTCACGTATTTTACTTCGGCTCCAACCTCAGTGACCATGACTCACATATTTTACTTTGGCTACGTCCTCAATGACCACGTGTCAATTGTATTTCACCTTGGTTTCGATGGCTATGAGTCACCTACTATACTTCGGCTATGGCCATAGTGACTTCAAGTCAACAATTTTTATTTTAGTTATAACTCCAGTAACTCAACTCTAATATTCTATCATATTTCATCTTGTATCTTTCCAAGTAATTATACACTACTCTTACCACCTCTAACAACATCATTCAAAAGTGAATGACTTCGAGGGGGAATAGTGTAAGGATAAGTCAAAGGTTTCTAACCTCGAACGTACTGCTATGTTTTGTCAATAACCGAAGTGAAGGATAAATTTAGCACTTCCCAATCAAACAGTTGTATGATAGGTACAGTGAGCGTGTCCAAACCTGATTTTTTGGTCTCGAGATCATTGCCTGAAGGGACACGTCAAACTTCGATTATCTTGTTAAGTAGGCCACGTGGACACCTCATTAAGGTCTATAAATACCCCTCAGGGGCAACCTCAAAAAGGTAATTGAAACTAACCGAAAGCTCATTTTTCCATTATGCTAAAGGTAGATCCGATTATTACTGACTTAAACATCGGAGTGTCTACCTTGAGGATCCACCTCAGGGCTTTGCAGGTTTATCCAAAGTGAAGACACGACTAAAAAAGGACTTCTAGTTTAGTGCAATTACAACTAGTTAAAATTTAAAATGAATTTCAGTAACTAACTCAATTTGAAGAGAAACTTACCAAACTTAGAATAAGAATCTATAAGAGTAAATCTTGAAGATACAATAAAAGTTGATTACAACTATTAATTATTAAATAAAGATAAAGAGAGAAAGAATAAATATATTAAAAAATAATATTAATATACTTCTCAAATAATGAATAAATAAACTCGATTAACATGTCTTTAGTTAATGCACTAAGTAAAAACATAATAGGTATAGAAGATATAATTATCATTTATAAGATTTCAAAAATAGAAACCATTAATAAAAATACTTTAAGGAAAATTAAAGAAATAAGAAAATTCCTTTCTCAGTAATTTGATTTTATTAAAGAAAGAATAATTGATGCAAAAAATTATAGAGAACTGAAAGAAATAAAAGAAGAAATAAGGTATATCAAAGACTTAAAGCCTCCAATATCTCAAGTTAGAGATATAAAAATCAAAATAGAAGAAATTCTTAAGATATTAAAAGTAGTCTTTGAAATAAAAGCTTAAGATGTATAATAAAATAATTCTACAACTGGAAAGTGATATAAATGGGAATTTTTAAAAGATCCAAACTCAACTCAGGGATTTACAAGATACTATAATATCAAATTATAGTAAATGAAATATTATAGATAGAAATGAAGAATTTAAAATAATCCTAAAGATTTTCATAGAAAAACCTAAATCAAGAGAATAACATTTGTATGTTAAAAACTCAAGAAAAAAAAATTGAAAGAATTAGAACAAAGACTTTTAGTGGAAGAAAATGTAAAAGAATTGAACAGCTTGTCTAATCAAATCACAATAACTATTAAATAACTAGAAATATGAAGACAAACACTCAAAATGAAGGAAAAAGAGGAAATTGAAGAAAGTGAAGATGAAAAAGATGAGACATAGCCTAATATAACTCTGACATAATTCTTAATACAACAAGGGGTAGAATCTAGCACTAGTCAAAGTTATAGAGGGAATAGAAACCAAATACATGAACTATTATATGATAAAAAGAAATTTAGAAATCAATCTAGATTTTAAATCCCAGTTAGAGTCAAAGAACAAATTATCAGCACCAACAACATTTGGCTATATTTAGACTGTATTACTAATCGAGAGAAAATCATTAGTGATTAGACTCAAGCTACTTGAATAGCCATAGCAAACAAAAGTTAGAATGCTTTATGTAATATCCCAAAAATTTTGAAATTTTAGACATATATGTGTATACATGAATATATTAGTACAAGTGAATTTAAATTTAAGTTAGGAATTTATATGGGAGGAATTATTATTTTTGGGCTTAATAGCTAAAATTTATAAACTTAAAGGGGGCATTATAGGAGAAATCTGGTATTTAAGGGCTAGGTTGATTTTTCCTTTTTCCTCTAACCCATTTCTGCAAGATTTCCCTAGCCCTCACCAGAATTTTTCCTCCCCAAGCCCAACCTGTGCTAGCAGCTTCTTCTAGTTAGAATAAGGTGAGATTTAACATTTTTCTTCCTTCTTCTAGCAAGGGTTAAAGATTTATGAGCTTATGATTTTTAAAATCATGATAAAAACCCAGATCTTGTTGCTGGTATCCTTCCATTTTTTGGTCCATGTCAGGTGTGAGGAGAGGCTACCATCTTTCCAACACTTGTCATAAGAAATTTGACATATTACTCACCTTTTCATCTTTAATTTGAAGTGGGTTATCTTTAATCATTAAGGGTTTTCAATTTTGGGAGTGTATCTATGGTTTCCCCTTGATTTTACCCATAATCTAGCATCATTAGCTCTGATCCCTCTTTTTGCTGCAAATTCGGATTGCATGACCTTGTAGTGGTATTTTTCTCATAACTCTTTTTGTAGTTATCGGATTAAGTCAATTCTTGATTCTATAGAAAGTTAAGAGATAGCCCTACAATTTTTGTGTTGGACATATAACCCAATTCGGCTGTTTTCAAGGTGAAAACTCTACTGCAATTTTAGACACTACAGGTGGATTGCACTGGCAGCCCGACCTTCTGTTATTTTTTGGCCATAACTCTCTCTATAGATGTCAGATTGAGGTAATTCTTGAAGCTATAGAATGATAAGACATAGGGATACAATTTATCTGCTGACCACTTAACCCAAAGTAGTCAATTTTTAGGCATGAATTCTGTTTGAAATTGCAGCACTAAATCTGACCAGAACTTGACAAAATTTTGTTCTCTTTTCTATTTTATTCCCACTTTATCTATAGCTACATATCATCATAGTTTTAGTAGACTTTTAGCTATTATTTTTCTACTCTAAAACCCTATGTTATTGCTTTACTTTGGCTGCCCTTTTTGCTACTTAAATGCTTGTTCATTTTTGCCTAGTTCTAGCTTGTGATCTACCTTGTTTTTGCTGCTGTCTTTTTGCCTAGAAATCCCTACTATCCAAGTCCTTTTCCAAGTATTTTGGGATTGCTTTAAATGGAATAAACCCCCACTTTGCTGTCCAATATTTCTACTATGCCTAGGATAGCTAAAGAGCTCAATTTCTCATCATTTTTCCACCTTATTTTGTCCAAAAAATCTGTTTAGAATGCTTGCTATTTCATGCGACTTTTGGAGTTGTTTTAAAGCCTATTCTAAGTATTCATTGATGTGGTATCGGTTTTAAATTACGTCAAGCGCTTTGAGTTATTGGAATTCCTTGTTGTTGTTAACCTACAAGGCAAGTTAAGTAAATTTGAGGTAATGCCCTTGGAGTTTAAGGTAAAAGTCTTAAAAGCATATTTTAAACCATTTTTGAGATGGTGGCAGGATTTAAACTGATTTTTTTTTTTTTTTAGCATATAGGCATGATTGATTTAAAATAAAGTTGTTAATATGTTTATTGAGTTGAGCATGCCTACTGGCATTTTATTTGATTGTCTTGATGATCTAGAAATTGTTTATAAATTATGGATTTTCCTATAACTCCTGCTTGGTTTAGTCTCCAATATGGTCTTGTCTTGTGCCCACTAGTGGGAGGTTTATAAATGCTAGAACATGTTGACATGTTACTTATAGAACCAGTTCATTCTTGTTATACTTATTATCCTACTAGTGGGATTATACACTAGTAAATCTTGTGCCCGCTAGTGGGAGGTTTATAAACGCTGGCTATGACCTACAGAGGAGATGTCTATTTCATTCCCATACTTGTAGCCATTTTTCTTGATACTTGATTTCACCTGTTGGTATGCTATAAATTTTAATTAAGGGCTATCCATATTTTTATTTACTAAGTTATCTCACACAGTTTTTCCTTGTCCACCATTTCAAGTAGTGTGACTCGAGATGTGAGAAACCAAGGGGAGTGACAAGCTAGAAGGCTAGCCACTTTTAATTGGATATAGATTTTTAGATATAGACCATGCTTTTGTAAGCTAGATTTTATTTGGAGATTTTATAAATTAATTTAGTGGATTGTTAGTTATGAATTTAGTAAGTTTCGAGTCTTGTGCATTTGTGAGATCCTCTCACAAGTGTACGGTGTCTATTTTGCTCTTGGTTTTGGGGCATGATAGATTTTGTGGTATTAGAGCCTAGGTTTAACTAAATACCTAGGGCTAATTTAGAAATTGGCTGGCCAATGGATTTTAGAACCATGGTGAGGCGAGTGATGGGGTTATACAAGGGACAATTTTGATTCTTATTCCATGAATTTTCTTGATCGAGTTTG